GTGAAGATTGGTGCCAGGCGGACTATTTAAAAGGTGCTTCTGCCTGTGCTGAGTGCTAACTGGTCTTCAGCTGATCCCTGTTTCCTGCTCGTTCTTGTGTGTGATTTCCTTGTTGCTGACCCGGCTTGTTCCTGACCTGACTGATTCCTCTCCTGCTTGATACTGGTTCCTGACTTCGGCTCTGCTCTTGACTTTAGCTTGTTTATGATTTTGTACCTCGCTGTCCGCCCGTTGATGACCCTGGCTATTCCTTTGACACTGCTCCTGTCTCCTATCCCTGCTTCCTGCCTTGCTCTGGTGCACACCTGGCGATCTACCATACCAGCTCTGCATATTACTACTGTGCCTGAATCGGAGGTTCATCAGTCTTCCAAAGTCTCCAACTGCAAGAGCTGCAAACAACATCTGCTGGCACTCTTGTCCCCCTGGTCCCTAGACACCCTCTGTTCCACTTCCAGTGGGGTCAGGGCTAGTGACACAAGTGAGGCCGACCTAGTCATTTCAGTCTCCAATCAGGTACGTGACAGATATCAAATTCATGATTCAGCACTTATGTTATATTGATGGCAGGCTTGCAAAATATTTGTTTTTTATGATTAATCATAATTAATATTAAAATGTGTGAATGGTCGCCTTAAGCCGGTGATAGTTTTTATTTCTTCAGTAATTAGCTGAGACAGTTAAACTGAGACAGCTGAGCTAGCTAACCTGCTGAGATCTGAGTATTCTATATTAGGGCATAGCTGGTTACAGGACTCTGGTGGAATATGTCAAGGGTGTTAGACGTGACTCAGAATAGAATACGTATTACAATGTATTCTAATAGTATCTGTGTGTATTTAGCTTATGATTTATAAGTTGGTAATATTGTTACATATGTAGATTAGTGGTTATACATTATTGAGATATTGTAAAGATACGTTCTTAATTTATATTATCATTTAAATATGAGTAGCTGAGGTTACATCACCAGCTTATTATGGTCATTACGTATATGTGTCTCAAAAATCCAACATTTTGGTGAGTTTTTTTCTCCTGTTTTCCGCTTCCTTGATAAGGGGGAGAAATCACAGTTTTTTGGTCAAGTCTGAGAAAAACACGGTGAAAAGAACCTAGCAGACAAGGTGATTAATCAGACTTGGACAAGAGATCCAGTGACTGAGCAGGGTCAAACAAGAGAATCTTCTGACTATGGTGAGTAACAATTATGGAATTTATTGATGAATTAGAGAAAGCAAGCTAGAGTTTAACCTCCCTGGCGGTATGATTATTTCAGATTTTTGGTGCTGAAAGCGGTACCATTTTTTTTGCATGGAAATATGTATTTTTTTAATTGTAGGCCTGTAATCTTTAGGAAAAACTCACTGAAATCTGTCCGAACAAGAGTCTAGTAAACATCCCAGGTATGATAAAATTTGAAACACAAAATCATAAATTATAATTTAATAAATAATCATAAAAATAATATAAAAATAATAAAAAATTTAATTCAATAATATAATCAAACCAAAAACATTGCTGAGCTCAGTCGCAAAATCGTTTTCAGTGTCTGATGACGAATTTCCCCCACAAATCATTATCACTCAATTCTGCAAGTGGTTCTGATTTACTATTGTTGTTCTCTAGCTGATCTAAACCGCTTTTGACCTAAAGGGACACTTTTTGGACGCCATGGACATTTCTCAGTTTCCAGGCAGAAAGAACAGACAAAATGCAGGCAGGGCGCCGGACAAAGCACTCGGGACAAAATATATGTGAAATCGGTTGAGACAGCAATGTTTTACTATGTAAAATGTAAAAAAAAAAAAAAATGACATTTTTAAATTTCCCGCCGCCGGCGGCGCCCGTACGTCCCGACGTCACAGGGACAGGACACAGAAGCCGGATGCCGGCATCGGCCGGAGGAGATGGCCGGGGAATCTGCAGGGGACACATCGCGGGAGCGCAGGGTAAGGTAGGTGAAGAACAAATGCCGGAGCAGTGCCGCATGGTATTCCCGAGTGTAGCTCGGGGTTACCGCTTTTGGTACTGAAATGTTACCCCGAGCTACACTCGGGAATACCGCTAAGGAGGTTAAAGATGTTTCTTTACATCCTGATGATGGTCATTTATGGCAGTACATGTACAATGAATGTTTACAGGCCAATATTCAGATAGAAAAATCTAGATTTACTGTAAACAGACAGCGTAAAAAGATATCTAATATCTTACATTTAGTAAGAATATTCAACAAAATGATTTTGAATGTTGACTTACCTGTTAAAAAAGCATTAAAGCAGACAGAATGTAGCACTGTACAGAACACAGAAATGCATGAAAATGTGTCTCAAGATGCTCTTAATTGCCCAAACTGTGACATTTTTTGTAATTACATAGAGAGCCTTGAGGAGCAAATTGACTCAAAAACAAATCTTTTGTTAAGACTGCAGAATGACAGTAAACAGGTTGCCATGATAAACACAGATGAGAAACAGTGATTCAAGATCAGAGCCACGACTGTCTGATATTTCCAAAAGTTCGGATATTGACTCTGATGACGAAACACAAATTAAATATAAAGAATTGGTATGTAAAACTGCAAAACTTAAGTTGCAAATACATAACTAATTAATGAAAGTTTTAAAAGACATCCCTGCTTATGATTCAAAGAAAGATGTTTTTAGCAATATGGAAGCATTTGAGATTCACGCCAAATGTCATAAGCTTTCAAATAATGAAATAAATAATTTATTTTATTTATGGTTGCCGATTATGTTTCTGACTCGAATAAAAAAATCTGTTATTGATGGCAAAGGTCAGAAAAAACATAGTGATGTGACAGACAGACTGCGACAATTGTTGTTATGTACAACTGGTGAGGACGTACCTTCCATAGAAATGCTAAACTTACTGCAGACTACTGCAGAAGAAGACCCTTTTGAGTTTAAAAATATGTTTTCCAAAGCATATAAAATTATATTTGGAGTAGAAAATGAGGAAGAATCAGCTATGATCAACGCTTTTGTAAAGAAATTCAAGTATCTTGACCCAGTAACAGTTGCCATAGAAGAGGAAAAACAAAAATCTGAATGACATAGTAAGTTTCATTGATAAAATTTGGAGAAAATTGAAAAACAGCAAACTCACTTACGAGATGCAATTCAAAGTGACAAAAATAGTTATACAGCAGTTATGCCAGGAACCACAAGTCCCAGTAAGAATGACAATGAAAACGATGCAGGCAAGTGAGTCATAAAGAGTATACCACATGCTTTTATTGTCATAGTCAAGGTCATATTAGATGGCATTGTTGGAAGTTTAAGATAGTCTCACAAATTAAGAATATGGAAATAAAAAAAGAAAAAGCAGCTTTTGTGCAACCTGCTTTGTTGTGTAATGTTGTGTAATGATAAAGGTTTAACTGAATTGCCTTATGCCTCAACAGTTAAACAGATTTATAATTTGACTAGCAACAACAGTTCAGACAATATGGCGATAAGCGCTGTCACTGACACAAATGGTTTATTACCATTTCCAAAAATAGAATCACTTGGAAATTCATCCCCAATACTATTAGAATGTGTTGCTCTAATTGTATTGGATGACAATGGAAGACCATATGTACAAGGTTTACTGAATGGTAAAAAGATAACATTTTTGAGATTAGTCTAACCAGAGAAAACATACCTGTGAAACCAAATTCATCCATGTGTAATATAAAAGGTTTTAATAATGCAGGTTATTCCACTGCTAGACAGGTGCCTAATGTAACATTTGAAGTACCTGGGCTAGTGAAAACTAACATTGACATTTGGTATTGCCATGGCACAGAGAATATTGTTGGCATTGATGTACTCAATAAACAGAAGTGGATTATTGATATTATAACCAAAGTTATTTGGAGGAATCCATATAGGCCCAAATCATTGTTAATTGATCCTTCTGTATACAGTGATGTTGGTTTCATTTCTAATATGTCTACAGCACAAAAATGGCCTGATACTGATGGTAATTGTGCTTTAAAGGAATTGATGCAATGTTTTCCAAGTTTGTGGTCAAAGTTTAAAAATGACATAGGAACTTTGAAAAATATAGAATTGAATATTGAGGGAAAAGATCCCATACCTCTTAATCAGTATGAGTTACCACTAGAATCAATAGGACCACTTCCTGCCATTATTCAAGAATTTGTGCATTTTAAAGAAAACACAATCAGTGGTAAATAACTGTATTTGGCCTTTCAAACATGCTGACAATTCATAATCTTTGTCATTTGAATTCAGGACACTGAATAAACATATCACAAATAACAAAGCAGTTGTTCCTGATCATTCTAATATCAAGTTACATTTGAATGCTGAGTCCAAAGATACATTAGATACAATAGAGGTTTGTTCCAAAGCTCCTTTTGTTGTGAAAACTCATGTATCTGATAATGCAATTTCAATAACTTTGTCTCAATTAAAAGAAGGTAATGAGAGACTAATTAGTTACTTCTTCAGAGATTTATCACCATTGGAAAAAACTTTTACATCAGAGGTACAGCAACTGCTAAGTGTCTTTTATGCAATCAAAGCATCAGAGAGCATAGTGAAGTCAAACAGGATCATATTACAGACTCCTGACAGTTCACTAAAAGGAATTCTTGAGGAAGATATATTCAGAGAATGTCGTGAAAGGTATCCCCAGTGTTTTAGAGCACTGATAGCCAAACACATTGAGATAGATGTAACAGGAAAACATTTTCAGGAAAACACACCAACACATGTTTGTACAGCTGTATCAGAAAAGTCTCTGGTCATCTCATGTACTATGTCCGCAGTCTCTGGTCATCTCCTGTACTGTGTCCGCAGTCTCTGGTCATCTCAAGTACTATGTCTGCAGTCTCTGGTCATCTCCTGTACTATGTCCTCAGTCTTTGGTCATCTCCTGTACTATGTCCGCAGTCTCTGGTCATCTCCTGTACTATGTCTGCAGTCTCTGGTCATCTCATGTACTATGTCTGCAGTCTCTGGTCATCTCCTGTACTGTGTCCGCAGTCTCTGGTCATCTCCTGTACTATGTCCGCAGTCTCTGGTCATCTCCTGTACTGTGTCCGCAGTCTCTGGTCATCTCATGTACTATGTCTGCAGTCTCTGGTCATCTCCTGTACTATGTCCGCAGTCTCTGGTCATCTCCTGTACTATGTCTGCAGTCTCTGGTCATCTCCTGTACTATGTCCGCAGTCTCTGGTCCATCTCCTGTACTATGTCCGCAGTCTCTCGTCATCTCCTGTACTATGTCTGCAGTCTCTGGTCATCTCCTGTATTGTCTGCAGTTTCTGACCATCTCCTGTACTGTCTGCAGTCTCTGGTCATCTCCTGTACTGTTCACAGTCTCTGGTCATTCCCTGTACTGTCCGCAGTCTCTGGTCATCTCCTGTACTGTCTGCAATCTCTGGTCATCTCCTGTACGGTGTCCGCAGTCTCTGGTCCATCTCCTGTACTATGTTCGCAGTCTCTGGTCATCTCCTGTACTATGTCCACAGTCTCTGGTCATCCCCTGTACTGTCCGCAGTCTCTGGTCATCCCCTTTACTGTCTGCAGTCTCTGGTCATCTCCTGTACTATGTCCGCAGTCTCTGGTCCATCTCCTGTACTGTGTCCGCAGTCTCTGGTCATCTCCTGTACTATGTCCGCAGTCTCTGGTCCTTCTCCTGTACTGTGTCCGCAGGCTTTGGTCATCTCCTGTACTGTGTCTGCAGTCTCTGGTCATCTGCTGTACTATGTCCGCAGTGTCTGGTCACTTCCTGTACTATGTCTGCAGTCCATTGGTTCAGAATATTTTTTTTCTTGTTTTTCTCCTCTAAAAGCTAAGCGTGTCTTATGGTCAGGTGCGTCTTATGGAGCGAAAAATATGGTATATTTATGGAGAGCTAAAATATTAGTATACAAATATGGAAATATACTACATTATTTAATTATTATTGTATCATTTAATTATTATTGTTAATAATATTATTATTGTTATTGTATTACTATTATTGTCATATATCATTTAAAATTAATATTATGATTAAGAATTTTTATAGAAAGAAAAACTGAAGATAAGGTATAGAGTTTAGAAGGAAAGTTATTTTTGGTTGGTCTAGTTATGAAGAATACGTACAATCATTTGGTACAAGGCTGTGTGTGTGGGCCATGGATGAAATGTGCATTGGTTAATAAATTAATTGAGATTAATCATAATAAGGGGGACTTGAAGAAAATTAATGATATCAAATTCATGATTCAGCACTTATATTATATTGATGGCAAGCTTGCAAAATATTTGGTTTTTATGAGGTGATTGTAGCCGTATTAGTGCATTTGCGACAGAAACAATTGAGTACTATCCGTGATACTTTTTTTACTTGCACTAACATACAATTTTGAGGACAAGCTTTCGGGGAGTGCCCCCTTCTTCAAGTTCCAAGTAATACTATACAAATCACAAAGTTTTAGCAGAATGTTAGAAGAGATGAAAAAAAAAAAAAAAAAAGCTAGAGATAAGACACAGCAAAAGCAAAGGGGGAGGGGGGGGAAGACAACACTCACATCACAGAGGGAGTCAAGCTTGAGCTGATGGTCATAAAACTGTTGGATAATGATTGAGGAATCCCATGTCCAAATAGAATTATATTTCCGGATCATACAGCTGCACCTCTAGTAATGTTGAGACCTTATCCAGTGCAGAAAATGCAGCAAAGGATCTTAAGTTGGCGAAACAGGACAGAAGTTGCAAACAAGGATGAATTTGCACAGACATACCATCAAGGAACATAAAGAAGATGACTTCTGCACACCTGTAGGACACCATTTCGCACAACCAGACCACACAATGGGAGACCTCAATATTTTAGTTCTTAAAGGAAATTTCAAATCCATTCAGGAAAGAAAAACTTTTGAACTAAGAATGATAATTCTATTCGACACAAGAGATAACGACCTGAATTTGGACATGGGATTCCTCAATCATTATCCAACAGTTTTATGACTATCAGCTCAAGCTTGACTCCCTCTGTGATGTGAGTGTTGTCTTCCCCCTCCCCCTAGCCTTTTTTTTTTCATCTTTTCTAACATTCTGCTAAAACTTTGTGATTTGTATAGTATTGCTTGGACCTTGAAGAAGGGGACACTCCCCGAAAGCTTGTCCTCAAAATTTTATGTTAGTGCGAATAAAAAAAGTATCACGGACAGTACTCGATTGGTTTTTATGATTAATCATAATTAATATAAAATGGGTGAATGGTCGCCTTAAGCTGGTGATAGTTTTTTTTTTTTCTTCAGTAATAAGCTGAGACAATTAAACTGAGACAGCTGAGCTAGCTAACCAGCTGAGAGCTGAGTATTCTATATTAGGGCATAGCTGGTTACAGGACTCTAATGGAATATGTCAAGGGTGTTAGAAGTGACTCAGAATAGAATACGTATTTGTCAGATACCGCCTGACATTACCTCTAGCAATCCACAGGACAGGATTCCTCAGAGCATGGAGTCTAAGCACCAGTCTGCTTGTTCACCAGAGCCCCTGATGGTAGGGATGGACTTGGAGCAGACAGTGACCAGGTCGCAGCCCCTGAGTACACCCGCCCGTGGTAGAGGGATCCACCAGAGGTATATACTTGGTAGAGAGCCTGACATGAAGAGGCGGAACGGCCTGAGTAGTGATAACCGGATCCGTGCGGGACGGATAGATGGCAGAGTGATAAGCATGGTCAGACGGGCTGGTTCGGTAACAGAGGGGTCAGCGCAGTACAAGGCAGCAGGCAAAGAGTAGTCAGGTCACTCACCGGGTTCGGTAACAGGAGTTCAGATCAATAGGAATATCCAGGAGAGTAGTCAAACGAGCCAGGAGTCAGAGCAGGAGATAGTCAGCAGAGGTCAGGATCAAGCAGGGTCGGCAACAAGTCAATGAGCAAATACATAGGAACAGGAACAGGATAAATAGACCATACGACCATACAGCAACTAGTGTCTGTGCACAGCTGGTTTAAATAGGGCGCCCTGAGTCGTCATTGGTGCCAGGCGTGCATCCATGAACATGAGTGCGCATGTGCGGCCTCCGCCGCCCAGGTACTAGCGTCAGCGGATTAGGGCGCATTGGCGTTCTGCGCATGCGCAGATCCGTGCGCCGTTGCACCTGCTGACAGTATTACAATGTATTCTAATAGTATCTGTGTGTATTTAGCTTATGATTTACAGTATATGTTGGCAATATTGTTACATATGTAGTTTAGTGGTTATACATTATTGAGATATTGTAAAGATACATTCTTAATTTATATTATCGGTTATATCACCAGCTTATTATGGTCATTACGTATGTTCCTGTCAATCAAAAGACCATATATGTAGCACCCCCCCCCCCCCTTCAATGAAATTGCTCTGCTAAGCAGTATTGATTGCCATACAAGGCCTTAAGGTCACAAGTTATGATGCTTATTTGCTTCATAAAAGGACCATAAGGGACAGTCTCAAAAGAGAGATGCTCACACTCATACACAATCACACACACGTCTGCCCAAACAGACATGCATAAGAACATTCTGAGAAGCTGGAACAGGTGCATGCTATAAGACAGGAATAGTCACTTCCGTCTACTTCCGGCTTCTTCCCAAAGACTCGAGAAGGACAAGGAGAACATGTAAGATGCACATGGCCAGACAGCCATGACAATAATGGTGACTTATCTTTAAACTTCTGTGTGATATTTCTGGTTTTATCTACATGGAACTGTTGATAATACACTTTACATTGTTATTTTAAGTCATTGTGTGATAGAATAAAATCACACTTTATTATAATCGCCTCAAGACACTAAAGAAGTATTATATGTGTCTCAAAAATCCAACATAGCTTCAAAACATTATTAAAAAAAAAACAAATAAAGTATATTCTTGAAGGTTTGAAGATGGATTGTAAAAGGAAACCGCTCCAAGAGTGTGTATCTTCACATTGATCCTTCACACATCGATTGGTTCTGGCCCGATCCATGATCGTAAGCACTAAGAGTACATGAAAACAGGTATGCCGCACTCCAATGTTACAGATAAAAAATAATTTCCTGAAGTCTTCAAACAATATCAGTACAGACATGACAGCTCCCATGAAAGACAAGGAAAAGTAGACTAAGAACATGTTTGTGTGAAACATGTCTTCTTTTCCTTGTCCTTCATGGGAACGGTCATGTCTGTACTGATATTATTTAAAGACTTCAATAAATAATGTTTTATCTGCAACATCGATGGAGCATACCTGTTTTCATGTTCTCTTAAGGTTTGGAGATGACAATGAACAACAACTATTTTTGGTGCAAAGGAGAATTTTACAATCAAATTAGGAGAGTTGCCATAGAGGCTAATTATGCCCAGAGTGTGGCTAACATGTTTCTAAATAAGTGGAAAGAGGAGGAAATCTTCTATAAAACATGGCCCCAATTGATATTATATAAAAGATTCATTGACAATATTTTTATAATTTTGGAGGGTAAAAAGGAGGATTTGGAATTGTTTTCAGAGGTCTAAATCAAAACCAGTATGATATCAAATTTACTAGCAATATTAGAAGAGACATGGTACACTTTGCAGACCTTGAAAGAAGGGAAGTTTCTAAGTACACACACACATTTCAAGGAAACTGGTAGAAATGGATGTATATCTGTCAGAAGCTGCTACCATCCGGAGTGGGTGACAGCCATCCCAAAGGGGCAGTTTATGAGAATTAAACAAAATTGTCAAAAAAGAGGAGGATTTTATGGTACAGACGGATATGCTAATACAAAGGTTTAAAGAGAAAGGGTATAAAAAGGGGGAACTGGAAAAAAAAAACAAGAGATTTGGTAAGGAGAACTCATAGAGAAAAAATTACTAACAAAATGGGAAAAAGGGGACCAAAAGTATGATATGGCTTTCATTACAGGATTCAATGTCCAGTGCAATCACTGTATGTGTTATCAAAAAAGACATTCAGCATGTGCTTATATCTACTTTAAGAGGCCAATGCCTACAAGCCTTACATTAATCTGTCCCTATGCACTCTATTAGCAGCATGTCCTATTTGTTTCTTTTCACAGCTAAGCACATTGTCAAAAGCATTTTAAAGGTCTACCATAGTTTTAAATTTGTACATTATTTTGGAGCTTCTTTGAACCACAAATAAGCTAAGTTTACCTCAACACGTGCTCTACTAAGGGATTATTCACACAAGAATGGACAGCTGCTCTACTAAGGAAGAATTCACGCAAGAATGGCAGCTGCTGGAGCAGTTTACCACTCTAGCAGCTGTTGTTACAGTGTAATGCACTGTACAGAAGCACATTGCCATAATATTCTCTACAGTACAGTGTGATAAAATGCAGCATGTCTGCATTTTATTACAGCACTCTACAGTGCAGCTCCGGGTTGCATTGAAGTATGAATAGGACATACAGAAAACAACTGTTTTCTGTATGTCCTTGCAGTAACAAAAATTTTACAATGCGGATAAACACCTGTCACCGCAACATGTGTGAATTCACTCTAATGCTCAAATTCCATCCCTACTCATGACCTTTGCCAGCTACTTATCCACTCAAGAACCTCATCTGCTTTACAAAACCTTATATGGATTGCTTTGAACTGCTGTTCACCTCTACCAGGACAAATGCCAGTTCGGAGATATCCTGCTAACCTATAACCTAGGAGAGACATCATCCCTCTGACAGTGTACCTCACTTGTAGAAACCATCATTAAGTCTTACATTCCTATGATAACTAATCATGGTCTCTGTGGTCC